GCTTGGGCGGCCGGGTGGACTTGTCGTGTGCCAAGAAAATCACGATTGGGACGCCTTACTTGGGCACGTGCGCTGCCAACGAAGAGCGCGATGCAGGTCTATGCTACCCCAAGTGCAAGCCCAAGCACACGGGTCTCGGCCCGGTGTGCTGGGGTCGCCCTCCTCCCTCGTGGGTGAACTGCGGCATGGGGGCCGCAAAAACCACCTTCGATTGCATCACTGCCATCAAAGACCAAATCTTGTCCGTGGGGGAGCTTGTACTCAACATCGTCACAGGGTTTGCCGCCAGTTCGGCCAAGGTGCTCAAAGGCCCAAGACTCCGTGCATATCGCACGTAGTTTTCGCTGGTGGAGTTGGATGCTGGAGATATGGGTGAAATTAACGCGCGGCCCAATTGCTCTGCACACTGCAGAAAACTTCCCCTCTCCTCTTGTGGAAAGTCCAGTGTCTTGATGAGGGCGGCCACGATAGTGTCTTCCCTGTTGGCCGCCGCCCATTTGCGAAATACGACCGGAATGTCATCCAACAAATTCGCCTCAGGTTCCGAGGACGATTCGTCGTCGTCGTGTGCGAGCCACTTCACCAAAACTTGTTGGCCATCCATGCAGCGCGCTTCGTCCAGGCGCTCCACATGAAATCCGTCATCGCCAATCGCGATCTACGCCTCGAGGGCTTCGGTCACCTCCCGACCACCTGCGTGGTACATCTTCAATCGGCACGCATGATGGACCGTGACTTTGTACGGTGGCACCAGCTGCGAAGCCTCCATCATCGTGGTCTGTGGTCACTTGGCAGGGTCCGCGCCAATGCAGGGCCAATTTTGCCGGACGGTTGACGACCAATCCGACAAGCACAAAATCGCCGACCGAAAAACCCGCAAACTTAACTTGTGATTTTCGGTCGCGGCGTCCACGCGCTTGCTGACGCAACCTTTCGATTCGCACCTCAACGTTGCCGTGCGTTTCTTCAAGCGTCTCTTGGAGGTCCATCACATGGTTTTCACGGGCGTCGCCAAGCCAGTCCGCGACGTAAACTTCTTTGGACTTCGGGTGGACAAATCCCACCACCGGGGTCTTGGCTGACAGGCCGGTAAACGCTGTTAGTGGTGCAATTCCTCCCATCCGTTCCACTGGCTGATGGTTGAGGGCACCTTGAACGAGGGGCACACGCGGCCATTCGTCCGCGTGCAGCTTCATTTCGCTGAGCAGCACCTTCACGGCGCGCAGCACTAGTCGGTTGACTACTTCTACATTCCCGTTCGCAAAGGACTGTAGGCTGTCGTAATGTGATGGTGGGCACCCACCAACTTCCGCACCTTCTTGATCACTTCATTCTTGAAGTGAGAGTCGCCATCTGACACCCATGCGTCAACGCAGTCGAACGTGGTAAACCACGTCCCAATCACGCCGTTTGGGGGGTCCCTCCCGCTTCCATGGTTGAACGTTGGATGTCGCTAATCGTAGCGGCTGTCGGCCACTCGAAATCCACTTGTTGCAGAGGCGACACCACATGGATCAACTTGCGAACATTCGCAACTGGTTGATCCGTCGGAGTCGAACCCCATCGGCTCAGGAGGTCGCCCTATACATTCACGTCACCCGAGACGCACACAATGGTGTACGCGACCATCGCTGCAGCTTGTCGGCCTGGTCTTGGCCATGTTGGCGTTCGAGCCACTTGGGTTGAAAATGTACACCAGGTTGCGGTGATCCGTAAACAGACGGAAACCACCCGGGCGTTCGACCAGGTAGTCGAGGCTCTTGCACCACTCGACCACAGCATAGGCCTCCTTCTCGACAATGGGCCAGCGCGCGCTCGCGCCAGAAAACGAACCACTAACAAATAAACACATGTGACTGGTGCCGCTGGTCTTCGAGAGGCAAGTCGAGGTCCGCTGGCGGTACTTGTGTGGAAACCGCGCCCCAGAAAGGTCACTGGCGTCCGTGAATACGCAGGCCGTCATATCTTTTGGCGGGTGGGACAGGGGCACCACATGCACCAATGCATGTTTCACATTGTTGAAACACTTGAGACGTCGGACGATCATCCCACGGCAGGGAGTGCAACATGCACTAACACCGTTTTCTTGCAGCTTCCGGTGGTCTTGGTGGCCACGTCAAGCAAACGTCGCAACTGATCCACCAGCTGGTTGTAGCCGGGGATGCTCGCACGCATCCAGTTGGTGGCACACACAAACTGCTGGAGGTCGGCCGCGGTCGTCGGCGGCGACAAATCCACGAGTCCTTGAATTCGGCTTGGGTAATGGGTGATTCCATCGGCCGAATCACCTTGCCACACCACTCTGCCTCGCGCAGAAAGAAATGACACTTCTTCGGGCTCAACTTGAGTCCGAACTGGGCACAGATGGACATGACTTGGTGCAACAAGTCGAGCAGCTCGTCCGTCGTCTTAGCGGACCCCAACAAGTCATCAAGCCAGGCAAACAGGCCTCGGAACAGCAGCTCACCAAACATTTGATGGGCAACAGACTGGCAGTACGCGACAGCGTCCGTCTGTCCCATGAGCACGTGAGTCGGAGTGTCATGAACGAGAAGTACATCTGAATGTCCGTATTTAGCGGCAACTGCCAGTACCCTTTGGTCCAGTCCAAAGTGGAGTACACGTTCGTCTCGACCAGACAGACCATCGCACTGCCCAGATTTGTCATCGGCCAAGACATCGACTCCGTGCTGGCGTTGATCGGCCTGCTGTCGATCGTCATACGCAAATCGCCGACTTCCTTCTTCGGCACGATTCTTGGGGCTGCGGCCCACGTAGCCCGGTTATTATGGTATACCATACCATTCGCTTCCAGGGCAGCCACATGGCTGCACATGTACTCCACATGCAGCGGCGGGTACCGCCGTATCGCACACTTCACCGGCGTCGAGCCGGGTTTGATCCAAACCTTCAATGGCTCTACCTTGACAGGTGGATAATCGCCTAAGTCTTCACGGAACACATCAATGTGCTTGGCCAGTAGGTAGTGCAACCGCGTCACTTCAGCGGGCGCAAGCCCTCGCGTCTCCGCCTCGGCTGTCTTGGCAGTCAGAATGGCTTGAATGGCGCCCTGCTTCGTGCGGCGCAGCTCCGCTTCGACGACCTCGACGGAGGTTTTGGGATAAACCTCCGGAGTAGCACACTCCATCCCGTTGTCGGGGTCAAGCTCCGGTGGATTCAACTTTTCCGCCATCTGGAGCTTGACATTCACCATGCCGGACAATTCGTTCGTCGGCACGGACGAATTGTCGGGCTGGCTTGGTGTCGCTGCCATACGGGCACGCCAAATCGGCACGCTATGGGAGACAATCCCAACTACGACACCGGCTTCGTCCAACGCATCCAAGATGCCGGGCGTGACAACGGTCACGTCCGAACCAGAGTCCAAGAGCACATCGTCCACGCGGACGATATTCTCCAACATCAGGCCGCGCGCTGTCTTTTGACGCTGCAGCTGGTTGACTAGCACCTTGATGCCGTCCTTCCAGCGCTCCACTTGCGCTGCCAACAACGTTTCGGCTTCGCCAGGTGCGGTCTTCGGCCACCGCACCACATGGTGATTCATGACTTCAAGCAGCCCTTCTTGGCAGAGGGCTCAGCATTCTTGGGCACCATCGTTTCAGCCTTTCCGCCGACTCTGCCACTGTTCTTGGCGGCATCTTCCCGACCGCCTTCACGTCTTGGGACTTGCGGCTTGCCGCCTCGTGGAGCTTCTACCGGCTTCGCTGCCGGGGAAGGCTTGAACTCGTCGTCGAGTCCAACGTACAGCTGGTGGCCAGCCGCAAATGTTCGCAGCCAGTTGATGTAACGAAAGACGTCGCTCTTCAACACCTTGTTCCGCTGCAACTGCAGCTGCTTTTGAACCGCTGTCTTCAGCGAATCCGGTTTGATCGATTTCGTCATGACTTCGACGACCATCTTGCCTTCTTGGTGGAGTACCCACTCCTGATGGTATTGTTCCAACGAGCGCATCAGTTCGTCCAACATACGACCGACGCGGGACTCCGCGTCCAAGATCTTCGTATCGAAGCGAATCGCTCGCTGCAGACGTTGCTTCAAAACGTCCAGTTCTTGAGGGTCTTCCTCAAACGCTGACTTGAACCACGCGACCCACTCATCGTTCGTGATGGAATTGTGGTCGCGGTTGAAGTCGAACAGCGCGATCCGGCGCTTCGAGAACGGGTCCATACAGACACTTACGGGCATCGCGAACGGACGCGATCCATTGCACTGCAGAGCGTTGACCTGCTCCAGATACTTCTGGTACTCGCGCATAAAAGTGCGTCTTTCGGGACAAGGACCCGTCGGATGAACGTGACGACAACAGATATGGGCCGGCGCCGCAAGTTTGGTACGCGCCGGCGCTCCTGCAGCCGCCTACAGCGCCGTCTGTTTCAGGCGTTGGTGGAGGAAAAGCTGAGACAAACGCTATGACAGCTGGTGTTCCTCGGGTTGTGGCAGGGATGTAAAATTCACCACGTGGCGGTTGCCACTCGTCGACAGCAGGTGCCTGTTGTCGTCGGGGAGATCTGAATGGGTTCTCAACGGTGCGCCGAGCGGCGCGTCCTCGATCCGGTCACGCGACGGCGATCGTTGTTCGGCGTTCGTTGGCGTTTCCTCGTCGGAGGAATGTTCTCGCACCATCTCCAGTGAATATTTCAACAATCCCGCTTCTTCTCGACTTTCGCCCACGGGACCTTCGTCAAAGTAGCAATATAACACTGACATTAGTGAGGTTAAACACGCCACGAGGCGCCTACTGACTACCATTCACTAAAATATTCAGTACCTCCACTAAGGTCTGAACCTTTGACCGAAGACTTCCTCACTCATGTTGCGCACAACTCCGAAGGTTTCGAAGTTCAAGCGATTGTCTCCCCCTATGTCACGATGAAGAAGGCGTACGAAGTGCTTATCAAGTGGCGTGGCCTCGAAGCTCTGGAGAATTCGTGAGAACCAGCCACAAACATCCAAGAAGACGTACCCGAGTTTGTTTGCGCCATTTTACAAGACATCGAAAGCGCCTGTCATTGTCAAGAAGATGGCAAAGGATCATGACGAAAACTAGCCATGGGGGAAGTGCTGTCGGCGAAATGACGATCCCACTGAATGGCAACTTCAACAACACAGTATATTAGGTGTTTTTGCATTTTCCACGAATACTGTGCTTCAACTGGCCAGTTTCCTTTAGTATTGAATTTGCATGATGAGTTAAGATGTAGCAGGCCAGGTAGAAAGTGAACTTAACCTCTAATTTACTTGTGAATTGACCTCGTTAAGTGTCAAGTGGGAGCGACAACAGTTTCCCAGCTCTATATTGAGTGCAGGTCCGCGCAGACGCTGCTCTCTAACATATATATCAAGATGATGTTTAAACATTCAAAGACCAAGAACCTACGCCAAGTACATTGTGTTGTGATCGAATAAAGTCGGACGTCTCATCCGACTCAATTCCGATTGGCTTAAATTCGACTAAATATCTTGCATTTTCTTTTTGATGCAACATTTGGGTTCAATTCTGACTTCATTGTTCTCCTACTACACCCACAATTTTGAGAATTATGTTAAGTGCCCAACAAATACGGGTGCAGTGCAATCTATAAAAGGACGGTGCAGGAATGCCATAAAAACCCGGATTACAGCAACTTTTGTCTCCCGTCTACGTTTTCTGGCGCCCAAATGTGACCATCATCATTTGGGACATACGACGCTGACAACCAAGTTCAGTGTACCCCAGGAGGATGGTAAGTTGGCCATTATAGTGCCAAATGCAGCTATAGTCGCGGCCGAAACGTAGGGACGACCCAAACCAGTGCTAATCGTGCTGTTTTAAACGTTTTGGAGCTTCTGCACCGCGCACTTCCACTCACACAAGAGCTTGCCTTGATTCTTGGTCAAGTCCCACGACTTGATCTTATGCAGAGGGAGGATCCCCCTGGCGGATACTCCACACCACCAGTAGTGCCAGGCGGTAGCCACGTCGACAGATGTCAGTTCGAAGTCTTGAGGAAGAATGTGCCAAAGGCCACCCCAGCAGTGCACTAGGTGAGCGGGGACTGAGTCATCAATAACCGGAGACGCTACAAGGCTGCTCGGACTTAACTCGACAATTGTTGCGACTGCATTTGTTCAGAAGGTTCTCGAGAAGAGAATGCGTGATGTTCCCTGCAGTAACACCCTTCTCATTGAGGAGGTCCTCGATGCCGTTGCGGATGTGACTCGGCAGCGCACGTACTGCAGCAAAGTTCTGCTCGAGTTGTGTTGGAGGCTGACGTTAGGTGGAATCCCCGTGGGCTGCGTCGACGGCGAGGTAAAGGTCACTTTTGAACTCAGATGCGTGGCTATTGACAAGTCTCCAAACAGGACGGACGAGAGCAGCGGGTGCTTAGCGGGGAGGCTGTACTCAATAGAAACTATAGTACTACATTTAAGCTTAGAGTTTTGTGCTCATACTCGGAATAACGTTACAATAGTTAATATTCCGACGCTACTTGACTATATCAGACCATATGGCCACTTGCTCCAACTTCGCTACCATTCACATTGTATGGCGGTCACTTTGGAATTGACTTTGGCTTGGTATCATTAACGATATCAGCACAGTGGCGGTCGACGCGCTCATGGCGGACCCAGTGGCTAACGTGGATCTCGTGGCAGTCGAGGTGGTGGTCGCGGTGGTGGAGCTACTGCTCCTATCCACCCACCACCTTACTATTGCACCCCCATGCTCAATGCACTCCATCAAGGCGGCCAACACGGCTACACGACAAGCGGATATAGCTACGCCAGCAGCAACCAAGGCGGCCATCTTGGCTACGCCAATCGCCATTATGGTCGCCAGCGCGACAATTACCGTGGCCAAAGCCCGTATCGCCAACATCAAGGGTCCGCCCGTTACGGCAGCTGCTAGAATGACTGGCACCGTGATTACCGCGGTCTTCGCAGTAATCACATTATCTCATTATCTCCATCACTCCTCGGGAGTGGATCTAGCCACGTATGATGGCAAGTTCAAATCAACCTACGATGAACGTACCGGGTTGTATGTCATTTGAATGCGGATTTCACCGCGCATCTACGACCCCACTTCGACCGTCCCCGTGACGCAGTCGAGTACACAGGGCATCATGCAATGACAGAGGACCTTTTTTGTCACACACTAAATAACGAAATACACACAGAAACGACCGAAAAAAACACAAATTTTAACGAAAAACACACACGCGACCCAATTACACAATACAAATCCTGAGTTCCACACAAACTTCGCCGAGCACAACACACAATTCACCGAATTCCACACAAAAAATGCCTAATCCACACCAAAATTCCTGAACAGTTTGGGTGGAAATAGAAGACATCTGACCCATCCATTTCCAACTTGCGGACAAATTGGGATCGATCCTTTGGGAAAAATATAACGTCAGTGATACAGCAATCATGCTGTCATCATGCTATCATCATGTTGTCATTATGTTAAGTCGCCGCATGTTACTGTGGATTGTCACAATTTTAAAGTAGTACTACTAGTACTACTGTCGCTTGTCACAAAGTAAAAAAGATTATTCGCCGAATGAGCTGCTGTGCTGTTACTTCTCCCTGGGTGGTGAGTGCTTCAACTGTTGGACAGTGTGACATTTCATCCACCGGAATTATGCCTTCCCGAAGGTGCCCATCCCAGAATGTGAAGTAACGTTGCACAACAGAATATTTACACCATGGTTGCTTCGCAGTTCTAGCGGTGCTCATTCTATTGTCCCCGACTATTCCCCAAACTAATATCCTGTGCGGGATTTGAACCCGCAACCTTTGGGTTGTAACCCCAATGCTCTACCCGTGTGAGCTGTACTCTTACTTGATAAATAAGGAATAATTAGTGCTACCGTTTCCGATAATTTTTAGCGAAATAGACGCGTGTCATTGGACGAAAGTTCTGACAATATTTGATAAACATCCAATGACCTTGAAGGTTCCGTTGCATAGAGTGCTGATATTGGCCAAAATTAGAATGGATTTCGATTGGCTTAAGTCGAACATGTCTAACCAATAGGAATTAAATGTGATTATCGTGTAGCTTAATTTTAGTGTCCGTAACAGTAATGAACATAGAAACATGTATTCAAATTAAGGTGTGCAGGAAACTTCCAGTATGTATTTTAGTGTCCACAACAGTGACAAAGAGCGAAAATGTATTCAAATCAAAGGCTAGACATAGTCTACTACGTAGTACTTAGTTTCGCATGTTGCGGTCTCCACGCAAAGGAAACGTGTTGGCTTCAGCATTTCCCCGACGAATTCGGCTCATCAGATTCTGTGCGCCACGCTCCATGCCAGGCAACACCATGCCAGGCTGGGTCGCTACCATGATGTCATTACCATGATGTCATGGGAGCAGATTTCATTGCGGGTTCAGTGGAGGCACTGACACTGCAGCAGGACTGGAGCCGGAACTTGTTGGACAAGCCATCCTATTAATTAACGTAAAATTAATTGGAAATAAACAGAGTGTTCGAATGACTCACCAATATCAGGTTGGTTGTGGGACTCAAGACGCTGCACGTTTCGCGACACTGAGTTGTAGTGCCACGCACGTCGTGGGATGTCTTCATCCTGCTCGCCTTCGGCAATTTCTTCAGGTAGGTGAAGCACGCGCCATATCACAGGGTGTACGCGCGGCACTTCGTTGACTCGAAGCCGCCGGCTCGCCAGCAACTTCTTGAAATATTTCTTCATTCGCTCGGTTGGCACTGGATGTTGCACCCAAGGTGTCGCCTCAGTCGAGATTTCTTGAACCAGTTTCGCCACTTCTTGAACAAGGTGTGGGACATGCTTCTTCACACGACCGATTGCCTAAACAATACATACATGTAGTGAGGGTTATGATTGACGTGAATATATACATACATATTTGAGTTTGCGGTTGAAATGTTCATTGGGATTGTTGGTGTATGAGCACCCGCTATGGCTGTGAAACACTTGGTACTTCAGTGGCACACGGTTTGTTGAATACACGGCGTGGTACGGCAGCCATGTGTTGAAAAAGTAGGTACGGAACTTTCGTAGGGTGAGGCTGCCTTCCCAGTTTGCGTGCGCAGTGTCCATGTTGTTGACCAAATCGGCTTCACTTGTGGACATGTGCAACAGGTAAATGTCAAAGGTGACGCTTGTCCACACCTCGCTTGTCATGCCTTGGCGTTTGTCGTAGCACTAGAACAAACCATGATGATAATATGATGACATTGCATTACTTACATTTTTGAGAACATGAAAAAAACACATGAGGTACTCGAGAAGAGGCAGCTCAGTCACCCATTAGTCTTGTCGGCGCCCATGCATAATTCAGGAGACTTGTAAACTTCTCCTTGAGTGACCGCAGTAGCCACGCGACGTCGGCGTGGGTCCGCTGCGACGTGATGCATACGCACAGAAGGTGAAATGAGCCCGCCATGTCGGAGTATCCAAATACAAACATGGGGTAGCCCAACTCGTTTGTCGAAAATGTCGTGTTCATGTGACATATGACGGTCTTCGTTGGGATGGCCGTGACCACAGCGTAGTACTTTCGAAGGAGTTCCACTGTTGACAATCGTACGACAACTTCATGAGACGTACGAACTTTAACTAATGATATTCGTACCAACACGAAATGCCTGCACAACACCGTCGCCAGCTCGAAGCGACCACCTTCCTCCTCGACACCAAACACAAATGGTTTGTGCGCTACCTGGACTTCGACGTTGTCGGTGAGTCGCCACTTCATGAGTTCTTCAATCGCTGCAGGAACGGTGCTCTTCTGCAAATGGTCTTTGGACCGCATGTAATGCACTGCATGCTGCACTTGCTTCAAAGTGGGACATGGCATGCCACCGAATCTGTTTTGACACTTGGACGCCTTGAGCATCTTGAACAACGTCTTGGAGTTGTGCTTGGGGTCATCATCTATCCATGTAGCCAACGCATTTTTCATTTCAAGAGTGACCTAATTCAACGTCACCCATTCACACATACATTTCCATATAAAAGTGGTACCTTTGGGTTTCGGGGTACTACATTACCATCATTCTGTTGAAATTCACCCACATGATGACTGTCTCGGTGCACCGTGGCAATCTGAGTTGAAATTCGATTCGAACCTACACCGTGGCAACATGAGTTAAAGTACAGGTTGAAATTCGAGACGAACCTGGGCACCGTAGTGGCTGTGTTTGGTCTTCACCACATGGATGGCAGAGTCGACTCACACAACGCGTGTACTGTACTGACATGACATGGTGTTTGGCCAGCGACAGATCCAGACCATCGTGATCCATGTTGCACTTGATAACGTTCTTGTGTGTAATGCCATACTCGGGTAGGGTGGCCCTAAACTCATCCACCCGCGCAGAATCCATGGTAGCAAGAAAGACCCACATGATAAAAAATGCTACGTCGAAGTATGATTTAGTAGTTACATGGTCCGTTACATCTCTTTATTGAATCGTACGCAGGAGTTTCATCCACGAACAATACAACCAATCAAATGTACGCAAGTCGAACTGTAAGCTATTCCATTGGTGAAAATTCGTCCAATGAATTGTCTAAAAACTACTGCTAGTATTACGAATATACTTGACAAAAAGGTTGCTATTTCTGGGACTCGAACCCAGAAC